GATTTCGCATGTGAAGTTTCAAAATGTCTGATGCATAAAAGTATTTTTAATCTTAAAATGAAAATTACTTTGCATGATAGATAGGCAAGATGTGAAAAGCAAAAAAAAAAGGCATGAAAGATATTTTGCATATGAAAGCATTGTAATGTTTACTGATAATCTGCTAAATTTTGTTAACATTTGCTTACTAATTTAAAAGTTATGGCACGAAAAATATAACAAGCACAAAATAGTTAGGAGATCGGTCCCAGGGGCCAAGCTCGGGCTGAAAGAGGTCTTGCTTTATGGCGGGAGTATGATGTCATAATAATTAATCTTCTGTTCATTACCTTATGCGGTAATATAGTAGGAAAGAAAATAATATATTATGGTTAAAGTATTTATAAATTATTGTAACAGATGATTACAGTACATATGACTTAAGAAAGGTATAACATAAAACTTACCGTCAAGCTGGCATTCCAGTCATGGATATATACTTAAGTTAAATATAGGGCTTACATATTCTATAACTTTTAATAAAGTTAGATTACCAATAGAAATGTATCTAGCAGGTGGAGTTTTCTCACTGATAAAAGGGTTTTGTAGATTAATCTGCAACCTAACAACACTGAAGCTTTGATTTTGTTTTATTTTTCTGACAATTGATAAGACAAGACTTGTTTTCTGTAACGTTTAAAATTACAGAGGCATTTTGTTCTATATCCTTTTCTATCTTCTCTTAAGTTGATTACTTGAATTTTACTTAAGAATTTTTAGATGTATTTTTAACTAATCAAAAGATCAATTGCATAAATGGAAATATAATTATGAAATTTGTTTTTATACTAAATTTTCTACACAGCTTTAAACTTGTGTATGTGCTATGCATATTCAGTTTAGTGGTTTCTGTATTTTTATAGACTCAAATCCATCTTGGAAAATGCAGATGATTTTGCTATAGATATCCCCAGGATATGGGAATACTTAGGAGAACTTATAGGACCAATGATACAAGATGGTTGTATCCCTTTAAGTTACCTGAGAGAAGTAGTCGAACCTTGTGTGGTTAGTGGAACAGCTGGCAAACTTCTTTCTGCAGTTCTTCATGGTGCTGCTAGAAATCTAGTGAGTTAGGCCTTTTTTATTTGATATGTATGTTTGTGCATTCTGAAAGTATTTGAAGCATTAGAATTGTATCTCAGTTAATTTTTTTATTTTTTTTTTTGACTTGCAAGCTCATTAAGCACTAGTTAGTCACAAATCTATTTTCTTGCAAACATTTTAGGGGGGCAGGATGACCTAGTGGTGATGATAATTCCTCTTCTTCTGACCTTATTGTAGGGCCAGACTAAAAAAAAAGTTTGCCATTGGCAATCCACCCCTCTGAGGGTTGGGTATGTAATTGTTTTAAAATATTCATTATTGTCAATGCATACATCTTGTAACTATGTATGCATGTGTGTATCTATTTATTTATATATATATACTAATGGCAAATTTGCACTTTGACAAAACAGAAAATTTTAAAAAATTTGTCAAAAACACCTTTTGTTCAACTTGAGGTATGATTGTAGGTAAAACAAAATACAAGACCTAGCTAACTATTTGCTGTAAAATTGTGTAACTACCAGTTTGGTTGCCAATTTTTATATTTTTTTTGGCTGCACTTTTTTTCACGTGTAAGGTGATGTTGATTAGATATTGTGACTTTTTATCGATACACACCAACAAACCACAGCAAGTAAGAAAGTGACACTCGATAGTAACCAATATTAGCTTTAGGATCACAACCCTTTTATTTGGAACAGACCTGTACTTTACAGAACAAATCAGGTTCTTTGAAATATATGATGGTAATTTTTCCTCTCTAAAACAGTGTTAATAACTTCCTTTATAGTAACGCCATGGAATCTAGAATAACAGTTTCTTGTCATCACCCACGTGCACTTGGTACAGCCGTATCAAGCATCATTATTTACACTAATTGCTTAAGCTAATATCACGTAACATTAAACACACTTTAATTAGGAGAATTTCATAAAACCTAGCAAACTTGTGCTTAAAAGTTGGCAGTGAATAATGAATAATAGCCATCCACCTGTATAATTTTTTTGAAAACTTGAGCTAGAAACTGCTGACTTAGTTTGCTTCGTTTAACCAATACTTATGTATCTGCATGTACTTTCACCTTATAGTTTTGCTGTTATAAATCAGCTGTCTTTAATCCAATTGACAAAAAACTAAAAACAGTCCACCTTTACTCAAAGATGATAGACTGATAGCTCATGTGACTTTTTGTGTAGGCATGTGCCAAATTTGTGGTAAAAACTGAGCAGTTTTTGTTGAATAACTTTACACATGTGACTTATATTCAGCCAAATTTGACACCTAATTGTAGGCTGTCAAGATCAATCATTGTACCAAATTTTAAAAAAATCCATAAAATTTAAATATATTTTTCTATCAAATAAAAGTTCTGTAATTTTGGTGCAAAGAAAAAAAATAGGAAGAACTTTAATCAAAATTGGATGTTTTATATCTTGTGTATTTGTTAACCCTATTGCCCCGGGTATCCTTTACTGCACATGACACAAGGTTTTAGTGTCTTACATTCAAAATATTATTATACTACTTTTTGTTTATGTTCTACCAATTAGAATAGCATAAAATCTTAGCTAACAATCCATATTTTAATAGTACACAAGTTTTAAATTCTTAATTTTACTAGGGAATATTAAAAAAACTCCTGATTTTCCACTAGTATGACCCATGTGACACATTTTGTCCTATCATGTCATCAACCCTATTTTATCCATCACCCCTTGAAAATGTACAAAATTAAACGTAAATTACTCTCTATAAAATTGTTATTGCTCAGACAAACCATAATTTTTAGTCTTCAATTTGTTTGGTTACAGAGCTATCAAATAGAAAATCAGAACCCTCCTGCCACATCCACCTGTCCCATCCTCTCTCTTTCTCAGCTTGTTGATAGTTCGCTCTTGCATTTCATTATATTTTACCTATAACCAATAGAAAATCAAGGTCTTCATCTATCAAATGATGTATTGTATAACATCATGTTGTGAACAGAATATCGTCAATTTCACTCACAGTACAAGATTTGTTCCCTTGGGAAAGTTAACGACTAGCTTGGATGAATTTGTAACAGCTCTTGTTGCATAGTTAGAAAGGCAGAAAAATTTTGAGAGTTAGGAGAAATTGTCTACTTTTTGCATATTATTAGTCTTTGGTGTATTATTTAATTAAATATATATTACTAAATGCATTACTATTACATATTTATAATTGTAAAAGTAACTAAAATCCAAAAATATGGATGTTTTTTAATTATTTAAGACTAGATTAGGTAAAATAATAATAATAATATAATTAAAATAATTCATGAGGCATGGACATGGGCAACTTGTGGGTAATATAATTTGATAGTGTAACATGAGCTGCACGTTCCCTGAGTGATTTACAACTTTTTATGGCATGGAAAATAGTTAGACACAGTTTAAAGGGCAGTAAAACAATAAAATTTAATTATAAATAGATGTATGATGTTATGAACTTAGAGCTACTTAGAATAAGCAAATGTAGTTTCAAGTCATTCTAGAAAGAAAAAAAAAAGGTTAATTTAGGTTTCTTTCAATGTTTTTTGGTGGTTATGAGGTCGGTCAAGTTGACCGATCCTGTTTTGTGATAGGGTAGAGAAAATAACAGATAAACTATAAAGTTTTACTGAAAGAAAACGTTTGAAATTCATTTAGGAGGAGTTAGGGATTACACAAAGAAAATTTTAGATTTTTGAGATGAGGAAAAGTATTTTTAATTTGTTTAACTTGAAAATTACATTGTGCACGGACTATTCAAAACAAATATTGAATATATTCATGGACAAATCTTTGTTTTATTTTATTAAAAATACTTCACTAAGAAGTATGACTTTTTATATGTGAAAGACTTGTAATATTAACTGAAAGACTGACAAATTTTGTGAAGATATACCCATTATATTAAGAGTTATAAGTATTAAATCTATAAAGACTTTAAAAGAGTACAAAAAGGTCACATGGTCGGTCAAATTGCCCGAGCCCATATTAAAAGTGTTAAGTTAATGGATTGCTTTGTAATTTGGTATGTAAAGTAAGGGTCCATTATAGCACGTCCACTGAAAATATGTGATAGTTTGGATTACCAAAGTGCAAGCTACAGAAAGTAGAAAATTGCTAAACAATCACTCCTGTTAATAACATGCAGTGTGTCCTGCAGGTTGTTTTGGCCACACAACACACTACCTTGTGTCTTGAATAGTGTTGGTGATAGGCTGTTTCTTCAGTTATTCATCAAAACTGCTGTTGTAAAACAAAGGTATTTTGCAACTGATAATCAATAAAGGGGTAGGATCCGATTGCTTTAACCTACAGTGTCCTTAATCCAACTATGCACTCATGTATATGTCATGTGGTTGTGGTAATTTTAATGTGTATTCGATCTACACCAACAAGTCTGGTTTGAAAATGCAGCTTAGAATTGAAAATGTTGTATTATATATATTGTTAATCATGTCACCTGTTTGAGATATACATTTTATCACTTTATAACATTGACAGTTTCAGTTCCTGCAATGGTGAGGTGAAATATATATGTTATATATATATATATAATTAGATTTACTTTTTTTCTAGAAAAGGAAAAAATAAATAAATTAAAAAATATACTAGAAAAAATAAAATTGTAGCCACAAAACAAATATCCAACATTGGGTCACAAATCATATGGTGGGTCATTAGGTAATGTGGCATGGTTTTTTTTTTAAGGCAATGGCAGAAATAAGACCCAAATTGCATTGGAGTTACACTGCCTGTCCAGTTTAACCTCAATTTCACTGGCCTCACATACTTATAAAATAGAGAAAAGGAACAGATGTGAATGTTTAAGCCCACAACATCCAACATCTTTAATACCTTTTTTTATTCTGGCTGCAGACAGTGAAAGGTGTTAAAGATGTGGGATGTTGTTGGTTTTTTTAACCATGTGAGGTTAATCCAGATAGATGATGTACCTCAAAGCAATTTGAGTCTTACTTATGCTGGTACCTCAAAAAACCAGGGCACATTACATAATGACCCACCCTATGGTGTTGAATGTTTGTGACTGCATTTTTATTTTTCAAGTGTAATTTTTCATTTATTTATTCACTTTTTTTTCCTTCTCTACAGCCCTCAGTAGCTCATCAGTAAGTCTGTGACCTTATAAAACTAGAAACTGGGTTTTGATACCCATGGTGGGCATAGCAGAGATAGCCCACTGTGTAGATTTGTGCTTAAATGCAAACAAACAAAACTCCTCTACAAGATTAAATCTAATTGTATCCCATCTAAGTCTTGGATATGCTGTGTAAAATGCATGCTGTTTTGTTTTGATGTAATCTATTACAAAAAAAAGCTTACTTAGATATGGTATGTCTGTGTGTATATACACAAACACAATTCTCTTACTCAGTATTGACTCTGTAATTACCCTAATATTATTAACATGAACTCCATATCTTATATCCTCCCAGTAGCTCAGTGATAAGTCTGGGGGCTTATAACCCTAAAAATCTAGTTTGGATACTCACAAAGCCAAAGTACAGATAGACAACAAACAAACTGTTGCTTATTTCTCACTATGTTAACAAAATTACCACAAGACCAAAACAAGATTCTTAGACCAATTTTGCAATCACGTTTAGGGAGTGGTGCAAATATGGGTAGGACATGATTTTATATATTGCTTTTTGGGATTGGGATAAGTTTTAGTTTTGCTATTGATATGAAAGGCCTTTTTGAAATAAAATGTGTATTCTTTATTGCTTATATTGGAAGAAACTCCCTATATAAGTCATTCAAAACTTTTTTCTCCTTCACACTGTTTGCTAAGCATTGTTCTACAGTTTTCTCTCAAGATTCATCACTGTGATGCATCAGACCTTGTTGTGAGCATTGTTTTACAAACCTTGCATACATGTTTGAACTGCCACATGACCTTAGAATCTGTTGTTAACATGTGATTAGAGCTTAAACTTCTGTAATTGTGATTGGCTATCAGTGAAAAGTTATGTGATTATGATTAATCCCTTGGTATAACCTGATGATTATTCATTCTCATTGTGCAAATCCAAGTGTTAATTAAAAATTAAAATATTCCTACATCAAGATTGGGTATTACCATTCATTGGTTTATTCTGTGAGAATTTTATTTCATACCTTTAACATTAAAGATATAAATAAAAACTGAAAATAATTTTAAAGCAACTAGTTTGTCACCCAATAGAAAAAATCAATGATGACTAAAAAATATAACTTTCAAATTACCGAAAAAGGTCCCCCCAATCTGGACTATGAACATTGACAAAATTGTTACTAATGCTTCTAGTATTTTATAAGTTTAAATAGTACTTAATGTAATTAAAACTGCAAGGTTTCAAGTTTCTGTCTCATTCTTGGGCTGAGAAATCTTTTAACTACATGAGAAAATCATGACCACCTTTTACTGAATTTCTTGGTTTGTTGCGTGGAGGCAAGATAGCCTACATGTTATTGCTTATAACCAACAGAAAGCTAAGATTCTGAGCAGTGTACTTGTGGTTTTTTCTTTAAGGTACATCAAATAACTTATTTTTTATATTAATTTACTTTGATGAGCAGATTTGTTTGTTAAACAATGTCTGTAACACATGTCATCAGTACTGTTCTATTACACTATTGTAGGCTTGTAATATTTTTTGGTTATTGTCATTTAAAAATCAAATTTATAACTTCTAATACTCAACGATCTTTCAAAAAGGTGTATGTCTAAACAACATCAGGTTAAATAAAAAACATTTTTTTCTTAATTCGACTTTCTGAAGCATGGTTGAAATCCTTGGAGTTAGCATTGAAAAACTGATTAAAAAATTGCTGTTTGTCTGTTGCATGTTGTTTTTCAGAGTCAAGTTTGGAGCATTGTTTCAAGTCAGAAGTGAATCTTTTTTTTTTTTTATCTAGTTATAACTGAAATAGAAAAAAAATGGGAAATTTGCTAGTACAAATAGTGAATTTTAGAAACTAATGTGTTTTGTGTGTTGTAAATTACATTTTTATATATATATCTATAGATTTTGTTTTTTTAATCTAATTCTTTAAAAAGAGCATTGGGGTTAAGGCATTGGGAGCACCAGGTGCAAATGGTTCATACAGGTAGTACGTCCAATACATATTTTCAGATTTATTCTTATATTCTTTATAAACTTATTAGTATTTATTTAAAAGTTTCTAGACATTATGCATATGAAAATGAAAACTGTAATTTGAATAAAAGTATTTTATTCTTAGCCAAAATGTCACCCATCTTTTTTTTTCTTCTTTGACCTATGGAAATTTCTTAAATTTATGATCAAAAATTTAGTAGAAATATTACATAAAAAGTAATTTTTCAGTTATATTTCATAAACATATACTTAGTACATTCAAAGTTACAGTATTTATTATTTCACCTTGCAATTTTGGGTTCATTGATCATCTCAAGCAGGTTTTGACACTGTGTAATTAAGTGTTATTGTGATCAGAAGAATTTGTATGACAATTTATTGCACAAACTTCAGTCAACAATGATTAATAAATGTTTCTATAATATTGATGTACTAATCCATATAATTTATATAGGATATTCTTTTGTAACATTAAACTGCCTATTTATGCAGGGCTCTATCAAAGTGGGAGAGATGTGGAAGAAGTCTGGCATTCAGTGGATGGAATTCCTCCCATCTGGACAGAATATAGACAAGTTTATAGAAGAAAATGTAAGTATACCTATAATATAAATAACAGAATTGTTAGAGGAAGAAAAGTTATCATCCAGGGTCACTTGCAATTAGTTATTGTACATGAATCATTTGAAAATGTAGAATGAAATTATTTTGTGGCTTAACTCTATGGTTCCCTGAAGGAAGAATTGCACCCCTGAATTAAAAAAATGTATAGAAAATAAACTTGTAATCATTCTTCCATATAATGAAATAAAGAACTGTTTTGTAGTTGAAACTTGTTTAATAAAAAAGTTTATTTATTAACTGGAAGCTGTATGGATCACATCAAAGGTTTAACCCTTTTTGTGCCTAGCTTATGTAATTTGCAGAAAACGTATTGCAAATTTCACAAGTGCAACAATACATATGGTAACTCTGAGATTTCTTAAGGTATCCTCTCAAAAACTGGTAAGGTTTGGTTAAAGATCATAACTATCTTGTACACAAAGAATTACGTTATTTTAATTGTTTTTACTAAAAATATGCTATTTATCTGTTTTAGTTACTTGCACTCTTAATAAGTTAGTGCAAGGTGATTTTCATTTTAATCCTTCTGCAGCAGGCTCGTGCAATTTGCAGAAATTGAGTTGTGAATTTCACTTGTACAACAGTACATGAAGTAACTCTGAAATTTCTGAACGTCTCCTCGTAAAAACTGGCAAGATTTTGTTGAAGATCATAAGTATCTTGTACACAAGTAATGACGGTTTTATAATTAGTGTTTTTACTAAAAATATGTTATTTTTCTGTTGTAATTACTTACATTCAAACTATTAGCAAAGGTGATTTTCATTTTAAGTATAAAAATACTTTTCTTTGTCTTATTGTTTTCAAATTTCATTTGCATAATCTGCAGAATCTCCTAAAAGGATATTGAAAGTGTTTTTTAAGGTAAACGTTTATATTTTATTTTTATTTTTCTTTACCATATCACTAACTCTAGGTATTATCATCATTGTACAATGCAACGAAATGATTAAAATTAGGAAATAAAAAACATACCTTTTGATTTATTTCTAAAATATCTTTAAAGATGTTATTTTGCTTACATTTCATAATTTTGGCCTTTTCCTTTTCACATTTACTTAATTTTTAATGTTTTATTTTTCATTCCTGTCCTTTATCTCTTATTATTCATGCCAACACAAGTCAATGGTGCCTTCTAGGCATACTACAGTTTCTTTCGGAGACATGTGCAACCCTTTGGCAAAATGTTCATTCAGCACATAATATTGTAAGCCTTTGAGAATGTACACAAAGTATGATATATATTTTAAAAAATGTTTAAACCTTTTAATTATGCATTTTAAAACATAATGAATGCATAATTAACTAAAATATAATAGTAAGACTTAAATAGAATTAAAATTGTATCTCTAACTTTGAAATGAAAGAGTCAAAAGGTTATCTAAGCAACTCAATGTCTAGACGTACCTCTACAGTACTGCCATTGTATTATTGAAGGTCATATGATAATACATCTGAAGTTTTAAGTAGTTTTTTAAGGGTTTATTTTGAAATAGAGGACTTAAAACTTGGATAAAATAAAACTTTGAATCATAACATACATACATTGATATTAAAGGTGTTTAAATTTTTAATGTAACACAGTGACTTGCACAGAAAAGCATTTAAAGAGGCTCCTGTTGCGAAAGGTTTAAGTATAAAAATACTTTTCTTCATCTTATTGTTTTCATATTTAATTTGCATAATCTATAGAACCTCCTAAATGAATATTAAATGTTTTTTTTTAAGGTAAATTTTTCATTTTCTCTACCATATCACTAAATCTAGCTGTTATCCTCAATGAACAGTGACAATAAAATGAGTAAAATTAGGAAATAGGAAAAAAAACCTTTTAATTTTTCATAGAATATCTCGTAAAGATTTTCTTTTGGTTAAATTCTTAATTTCAGGACTTTTCACATATAGTTATTTTAAATGTTTTCTTGTCCTTTATCACTTATTATTCATCTTGGCATGAGTCAACAGTGCCCTTGAGGCATATTATGGTGTCTCTGGCAGAGACCCACAACCCTTTGGCAAAATTTTCATGCACTGCTTGATATCGTAAGCCTTGAAAACTGACACAAAGACAATTTTGCACTCGACCCTATCAGATTACAGTTCATCAACAAAGATAGCTGTTGTTAGGCCGTGTTTGCATTAGGCTTTATCTGCATAGAAAATTACTGAAAATAATTGTAAATGTATAAATAGAATTATATAAATCAAGATAAATTTGGTTTAAAATGTATTAAATATATTTAATAAAAACTTCTAGTGAATATTTATATTAAAAAAATAATTCAAGCTTTATAATTTTTGTATGGTAAAAAGGTTATTTTTTATTATATGTCAGTGATTGTAAATACAGTGAAACTATTAAGCGTTTTTGTTTTTCAAATTGGAACAAAATTAAGATTTAGTTTTATAAAATAAAACCATAGGAAAGTTTTAAAATAACTTAGGAAAACATAAAAATTAGTAAGTTAATTCTAAAACAAAATAAACATTTTTTTCTTGCTTCTTGAAAAACATATCACAATGAAATGTTTTCTAGTTTTCAAAACTACAAATATGACAAAAAATAATATATTTTATTTGCAGAATCTACACTGTTTATAGAAAGTTCATTTTAACTTTCAAACCATTTCATCCCATGGTTTTCTTGTAATGCAATCAAACAAACCATACAATAAGTGCGTTAAATTGATGTATTTGGACATTTTAAATACCGACCTTAACTTTTGGTTGTGACTGTTTTCATGATTTACATAATTCATTTGACACAAGATGCTACTTTTATCAACCATTCTGTTGAATCACATTTTTTAAAAGTATTATTTCCAGTGAAACTGATTTGTAAAATAACTTGTATATAAACCTTCTGGCTTGAGATACTAAGTGCAGCCCAAAATTAAATTCTGTATACCAAATTATAACTAGAAAAGCCAGCTTAACACATGAATTTCCAACACTGTGAGAATAGAAAAAAGACATAAGCCAGAATTTGTACAGCAGTAAAGTTATTTAGCTGAATTTTGTAGCAATTTTTTTGAGGATGAAATAATTTATAAACACAAAAGCAGTTTTTTAGATTTATTTAAATAAATCATTGAGTGTTTTTTGTTTTTCAGAAATTACAATTTACAGTTAGTGTAGCAGAATCTCTTCCTGATGCTCAGCTTTCAATGGAACAGATTAAAGAAAAGATAGAATTTTTATTGCAAAAGAAAAGAGCCACCAATGAAGAGATCCTTGATTGGGTTGAGGTATGAATAGTAGTTGTTTTGTTTCCATTTCTTGTTGCTACAGCAACTGAAAATGTTTGGAAGAAGAAAAAACATCTCTTTAACCCTTTAGAGATAGGTCACAGGTTGAAATTTGTAATTTGAGTTTTTAATTCGTATGAAACTACAGACTTAGTATTTTGACTTCACAAACATCTAATTTGAACCAGTGCTGCATTCAACATACCACCTAACACACAAAAATTGATGTTTAACTGTGTTTTTTTAATATTTACTTTTAAATTAACAAACTGAGTAATGTATAGTTCAAAAATTGGAGTTATAATCTACAGTTTGATACCAAACTTGGTGACATAAATTCATGAAATAGTAGTTAAATAAAATTTTGAATGTGGGTCAACAAACAAGATGACATGGACTTTTACCTGTGACCCATATAGAAAGGGTTAACATTCAGGGATTTGTTTTTCAATGCATATGTTGTCTTACTCGATAATTTGTTTTAATTATTTAAATTTATAATTATGTTTTGAAGTTTTGTGTATATTTATAACTTTTAAGAAATATAATTTTTTTGAAAAAATTAGTTATAATTTAATTTCAGTGAAAGTCTTAAGATTTAATTACTGGAAATGTCTATTTATAGTATATGAAATTTAGAAATAAAATTTATAATAAGAAATAATTTTATAATATAAAACTAAACTCCTTATGTATTTTTAACATTTTTGTTTGATTACATTGAATACTTTGAAAATGTGTTTTATTCTTTGTAAAGAAATGAAATTGTACAAACTGTTTTAAGTCCTTGTGTATTAAACAAAAATTAAACACTTTTGCTGTAAAACGTGAGAAAATAACGTTACTAAAATCAGTTATATTTGTCATAAGATAGTAGAATTAGATTTATTGTAATTTTTAACACTACATTCTTTATTCTGTCCATCATAGTTTTCCAAAAAAAAAAGTGTATGATAGTATTTCAATCACACAATGCCTGCTATGTCCAACGCTGACATCTTATGCTTAATACCAGATTTTTTCCCCTTTTCCATTTGTTTGCTATCCAAAGGAAGAAATAGTATTACTATGAAGATATAATATCACAATGAAACAAAATTTGTACATGACTGATAAAACACAAAACATACATTAACTTTAATAGTGTGCAAGGAGATTAAATTTCATAACTTGTTATCATTTTCTGAATTAGTTTACCATGTAACTCATGCAGCTCATAAAATTCTTCAATATTCTTTAACCTAAGTCTGTCGATTATTCTTTGTTAAACCAGTTCTATTACTGACTTAGTTTGCCCTCCCCCTTTTTTTTATCTCAGGAGATAACTGATGGCCAACAATCATGGTGTATTGTTTTGTTATACATATGACATTGCTTACCTAATCCATAAAGTTATTGATTCAAATGCACTAACCTGTTTTTAGTAGTATGTGTATAGTAAGCAATAAAAAAAAATTGCACGATCCATATCTTATGAATCTACTATGAATATTTCTCCAAACATTTGACCAACATTCTCACCAACACATGTCACTATTTGTCTGGTTCAATTATTACTTGGTTTCTTAACATAATACTGAATTATTTCACAGTGAAATTTTAAAAAGTTATGATTTCTCATCCGTCATAAAATTTGAAATCCTTTATATCCTGAGAAATGAAAAATCAGATAGATTAGTCAGGAAGTTGATCCAATGTTTGAGTATACCAGAGTTCATCAGACTGGCTGGGGTAAAACAAATACAGTAGTAATTGGGATGCTATTTATGTAAGCCATTTGTTAGAATAACAGTTGGTTTGGTGTGAACACCTTTGCTGGGAAAGTGTGATTATAATCAATTACATTTGACAATGCAATGAAATCTCATTAGTCTGGAACAGGCAACCCAGGTTATTCCAAATGTGAACTGGATCGTTAGTGGAATTTGCTAACCAATTAATTGTTAGGCTCATTAATCAGTTATTCTCAAATGAGACTTGGATAGTCCGAATGATCAAGCATACATTTTATATGGATACATGATTCTGTAAAAGTCAAGTAGGAGTCAGTCAGGACAGAAAACAAGGTGATAATTGATGACCACATAACACCTGCACTAACTAAAAGGTACCAGTTTATTATAATTCTTCTGAGAATGACTATCATAGTATGGTTGTACAAATTAACAGATATTGAGAGGTCATCAGAGTGGTTTATGCTACAGTCATATCAAGTCACAGTGCTATGTGATGTGTTACTTGTATCATTTCTGTTGTGTCTCTTCAAAAGTGTAGTGAAAGTGAACTTGACATCAAAAATGAGCCACCTGATGAGGCAATCAGTCCTAATAAATTACAATCTAACATTAAAGACATCATCACATGGTTCGAACAAAATTGTGATTTGTGTGAAGATCATGATGTAAATTGTTATTTCCTTAAAGCTGCTGGGGAGTTTCAAAAGAAAAATCCAGTTCAGAAGCAGATTATGATTACATCCTTCTTAAGAAAATGATTTGTTGTATATTTGACCAGTGCTAAGTACTTTGTAAATAAATAACTGGTGTGAACAAAATGATGATTTATGTAAAGATAATGAAATGCCACTTTTATTATACAATTTGTATAATTGTTGATAAGGTATAAAATAATAAACTGGCAAGTTTATTGTACATTCAGTTTTTTTTTGTTTACTGTTTTCATTCTCACCCTTACATTTATCACTTAAATGACTATTAATAGAGCATCCATTCTACCCAAAGTGATTGATTTGACTATGTGGATGTCTTGATAAATCAGAAGAACTACTTCATTATGAATACGTCAGGTTTAATGAAGTTTGACTATGTGGATGTCTTGATAAATCAGAAGAACTACTTCATTATGAATACGTCAGGTTTAATGAAGTTTGACTATGTGGATGTCTTGATAAATCAGAAGAACTACTTCATTATGAATACGTCAGGTTTAATGAAGTTTCGCTCTATTGTATTTATTAACACAACAATCTTTATTTGGTCCTTTATGGTTTTTCTGAGAAGACGAGTGTATAATGTTATTTCAGCTACACAATGTCTGCCCCTGCTGACAACACGTACTTGAAATACTATTATCCACTCTTTTTTTCTTGGGAAACCATAAGAGACTAAATAAAGAAGATGTGCTATAAAATACATTTGAAGCCTAATACTGTTGTTTTGTGATAAATATAATTTATTATAATCACACTTCATTACCAGCCAAAGCATTTGTGCCATAACCATGTTACTAAAACTTTTTCTTCCCATTGGGTCAGCAGTAAGTTTTATAGACTTATAGTGCTGAAATCTGGGGCTCATTCTCACAGTGGACAGGGTTACAGATAGCTATTGTGTAGCATTGCACTGAAGCCAACTTTTTTTATGTTCATTAAAAATAAATATGAGTTTATTATTAGAAATAAAATGAAACACATTTGTGTTACATAGAATAAATAACTAAAATGAGTGTGATGTGTTTAAAATATTGATTTTGAATATGTATATATTTGTTTTTTCTTCTTATTATTACTATTAATGTAGATTTATGTTGGAGAAGAGAGAAGAAAGAATTCACAATTCATTCGTGCCTTGATCTCTGCCATTGTTGAGAATGCAATAGTTGGTAAGAAGTTTTTCTAACAATTTCAAGTGAATGTGTTCACCGTGTTTATAGACTTGTGTATTAGCTGGCTAATGAGATGGCTATATTTCTGTAGAGAATTTATAATTTTAGTACTTAAGTAAAAATATTCTAAGAGATATTTTTGTTCCTTTTAAAGTGGCTATTAGTAAGTAATATTGAAAGTTAAATCTATTAAAAATCATCATGAATTTGAAGCAGCTAACACTTGAAACTATAAGTCAGACTTATTTGAAGTGAGCTTTACATAAAAATTTATTAAAGTATTTCCTCTTTTGTATTTGTCTTTTTTAATATCATTGTTACAAAAGTGTTAGAATATTGGCTGTGTTTGAACTTGTATTTTGCTGGAACAAGTAGCATGTAGCCCTACTTTTCGTTACAAGATTTGTTGGCCATAGTGAATAATGTCATGATTTATAATATGTACATTAAAAGTTACATTTTTTTAGTATCAGAAACAAAAATCTAAAGTTAGAGAGAGAGAAAAGTCATGGCCAACAGATTGTGAATATGAATAGGGTAGAATGATTGACACTCGGATTAATAGTATATGAACAATTGAAAGTTTAAAAAATTCTATTGTCATCCTCTGAAAATTTATTTTGTTTAATTCAAAATTAGTGCCAACTTTTCATCTTAACTTACTTAGTATAGAAACACTAACATAAGTTGCATTCACATTGATTTTGAAGTCAGTTTGACTGAGGAAGATAAATATTTAGACACTATAATTAACATTAACCTGACACTCTTTACCTTGCCCTTGACACAAAGCTTTATCCAACCATTTGTTACATATTCCCAAAAAAGCAGTCATCATTGTGGTTCATCTGCATTTCTTAATAGTTTTATATCTGGAGATAAGGGGTGCAACCCTCACACAAGTATTGCAAGCCTATGTTAGTTGATTATTTCATGTTTCTGCTTCTAGTCGCACATAGTAAACTAAATTCTTGCATTGGAGAAATATTTGAAATTACTATATATCAAGTACTTTAGTTGTAAATGAATATTTCTACTGTAAGTGCAATTTCAAGGACAGTAGTGAAAAACATTGGCTGCATTTATATAGTTCTTAGATGTGTTTTTGTTAGGTTCATAATTTAATTTTTCAGCTTGAATTATCTTTTCCTTATTCCAGGAGAGGGAAACAGTTGTAAACTCTCTGATTCTGTAATAACACAAAGAACTGAAGTGCTCCAGAAATACCTAGATAGCAATGAAGACTTAGAACTTCAAGCTTTGTTTGGTCTTCAAGCCCTTGTTAATAAACTTGAACATCCTAAAGGTATAGCAGTTATAAAACCACTAGACTATAAGACTTGACAACAAACATGTGGTTTTAAATGTTGTATTTTGAACGATGGGATTTTTGAATAACTTGTGTCAGTGATGTAATGTAAGAGAATATAGTTTATGATATTGTTTGGTCAAGAAAGCTTTGATAATTGATACATTTTAAAATATTTTATGGTTATTTAATTCAAATATTTTAAAATCAAATTCATAAACATATATTTATTTTCATAACTATCAATATACAAGGTGCAGTAACTGTAGTTTTTCTAAATGAATTTAGAGTCGAGTGCCCTAACCACCTGGCCATGCCGGGGGAATCTGAGGGTCGTGGGTTCGAATCCCCGTCACACCAAACAGTTGATTCAGCCGTGGGGGCGTTATAATGTGACGGTCAATCCCCCTATTCGTTGGTAAAAGAGTAGCCCAAGAGTTGGCGGTGGGTGGTGATGACTAGCTGCCTTCCCTCTAGTCTTACAATGCTAAATTAGGGACGGCTAGCGCAGATAGCCCTCGTGTAGCTTTGCGCGAAATTCAAAAACAAACAATCTTTGTGTTTAACTTCAAACAAACTTAGAATATTTCAAGTATGTTTCATTGGTACATCGTTTTACTTTACATTTACAAGTTAACTTTTCCATGTTGGATCTCATGGCCTCGGGTCAGGTCACAGGTCTGGTCCAGCAACCTAGTCCTCGAAAATAGTGCCAAACGTCTTCTTTTTGCGATTTTTATGGACGTTTTTGCGTTTGTTTACTACTACTACTACTTCGCCCTCTGTTGATGGATCTTCACCAAATTTGGCATGAAGGTTTGTTGGATCCATGCGGAGATACATGCAAATTTGAGGTTTCATATTATGTGTATTTCAGTTTTTATGTGCGTTTTTTTACAATTACGTATAAGGGAAGCAAATATTCATGTCCTAAGATTACCTTTCATTAAACATGAATTTACATAACTCCCGTCCAGCTAGCAAATTCTATATAATGTAAACATTGTTCATCATATGAGACTTAACGCATATTTTACTCTTCGCAACAATGTGGAATAGCAACTGAGGCAAAGCAAACAATATGAATCACTCGACAAGGCTTTATCTTAACTATTTATGACAATATTGTTACAAAATAAACTGATATTCCTAGCATTATTTACAAGTAAAGTGTTAAAGCTGTAAAATAATATAAAACACTACATTAGATAAATATAATTATAGTATATATGTTTTTCGCTAAGGATATTTATGAAGTTTTTGTTGGTTTTTTTTTCTATAAAAAAATAAATATCAACAGTGGTATCAAAGTGTAAAGGCAGTTCTTTTTTTACCTTGGACATTAAAAGGAAGAAAAAATAACTACTTGTACACACAAAAAGGAAGAAAAAATAACTACTTTTACACATAAAAAGGAAGAGAAAATAACTACTTTTACACATAAAAAGGAAGAGAAAATAACTACTTTTACACATAAAAAGGAAGAAAAAATAACTACTTTTACACATAAAAAGGAAGAAAAAATAATTACTTTTACACATAAAAAAGATAAAAAAGAAATATCGGACATTGAATTTTTCAATATAAATGCTAACAAGCTTTAGAGCCTTCTTAATCTTCCATCGTATTTACGGTTAGGGTGTTTGACGAAGGCTGTACTTGTAACGACATAATTATATATCTTTTATGCATGAATGGTTCGCGCTCGAAACATAAAACACCTTAAATCCAGCGGGTGTTGAACCTGAATGTAACAACAACAAAAAGCCAGAGAAGGGTTTAAAATGGAAAGGTATTATGTAGTGTGAAACAAATTGTTTCCCCTCGGTACAAGTGGGTCGCCCACCTGCTTAAAGGTGTATGAGTTAACCGTGACTCTTCCCCCCCTACCCACCCTTTTTTTTTTCTCTTTAAACAAATGATCATTAGGGCAGGTGTATCCGCTGACTTTTGCATTGTTAAGCTTGAAACTTGGTTTCAGGCACTTCGACATTATATAATAATAGCAGGACCTTGTGGCAGGAAGTTCAAAAAGCGATAAATACGTTTATGATAAACTCAAATATACAGGAATTTGAAGCAAGCTCGATAGTAGCCTTGGTCAGCAAAACATCAGAACAAAGCAAAATATGTTGGTTAAAAAAAAAAACAAGCATTCTTCACCCCCAGTACACTGGATTATAAAAACTTTTCAGTATCAAGTATTATAACTATGGATATATATATATATATATATATATA